AAAGATGGTAATGAGAACACCGAACACCAGAGAAAAACAGAGGACAGGACAACAGATCTTCACACAATACAGTGGTTGAAACTATTAAATGTGATATGTAGTAAATTAGCTCTGGATCCATTGTGAAAGCTAAAAGGCTAAAGCAGAGACGAGCCTTCAGTGACGCAGCTCTGTTGTCCATCCACATTTTCAGATGCAGGCTGAGTCATTTCTGCATTCTCTATTCTGTCAAGGAGTTCTGGTTTCATTTAAAAGGGCTGAACGTCAGATATTGTAAAACATTAACTTTCAAGCTGGATAGCGGGCCCGGAGTGAACAATTGAGATGACCCTGACTATTCCCAGTGAGTCAGACTGATGTTTTGGCCACAAGCTCTGGTGACTTGTTAGTCCTGGCACTGGGTGGATCAGATCACCTGTCGCTGCTTGGCAGTAGGCTTGGGCAGCATGAAGGTGTTTTGTTATACTGCAGTATCAAAATATGACGGTATGAGTCTATGACTCCTTTTGAATTTGAACTTTCTGGGATTTATTTTTCCCCGACATGTGAGCTTGCGCTGCAGACGTGGAAATGAGTGCAAACTTTATCAACACAAGGACTTTTCTTGCTAAAAGCATGCAGCAGATTTGAAATGATCATGGTAAGAGCAATTTATTTTGAAACTTAAATTTCTAAAAGGCTTATGCATGCTCACCTATCGCCTAACTATCTGGTAAGCCGATTTTATGTTACAATGACCTGCCCCTGGGCTACCTCTGTCTCCATCTGGCAGCTCTTCTCTTTGATTTCCTTTGTCCTGACGTAACATGCTACTGCACACGGTTAGTAGTGTTTGAAAGATGAAAAGCAGAAAGAGCAATAAGGGTGGCGCGGAGAAGATTAGAGAGGAAAGCTCTGAAAACAGATGTAGCTAAATCCGCAAAAATGGGCAACGTTTTCTTTAAAAACAAGCTTGCAGTTTGAAGACACTGAATTAGGGAAGGCAAACCCCTGTTTTTAATTATCAAGTCAATGAGTTGTGTGGCATTGTGGCATATAACATAACATTACATAATTTATATGATGCAACACCACATAACTGGGAAACTGTAAGTGTAATCATTTTCCCAGAATACTTTGTGGTGTTATGGATTAATTATGTATATCTGTTCTACCTTGACACTGTCCAGTAACCATATCTTATTATAACCAGTTTTCGGGTGTTAATCTGTTTTGACCCAGACAACAGGACTCCAGCGAGGGATTGACCTCTCTTGTTTGATAAGGAACTCTTTGGGCTAAGAGCCCTGTTATTGGCTGGGCAGTTACATTCGTCGATCTGTGATTGGTTGTAAACTGTCACGTGATGTTATCATGATGTTATATTATTGACTTGCTGTCTGCTGACGGGAGTCACAAATCAGCAGATTTCCTAATTGACTGTCCGCTGGGTTGTTGCTCAGAATTAAATCATTTTGATGACCATACACGCAGACTTTCTGTGCATTCTTTCCAACATGTTTCTGCATTCTTGGTGAATCATTTCCACAACAGTGGCATAAATAACATGGCCACATTCGTGTGACAATATACGTATATTTTACATTTAAAAAACTAAACAGCCCACAGTATTTTTACAGTCTCGTTTGTATAGTAGTAGAGAAGTAAATGTTTATCAAATATCGTCTAATGTTACAACAAGTCTGAGTTCCCTTTAAGTGACTGACAAACATCATCTAATCAGTTAAATAAACCATCAAATAAGTTTGTCAGCTTACCTTGGTTGAATTACCATCTTGTATGGATGGTATTTTTCGCTAGGCTCTTCCCTCCAAGTGTGCTCCAGAATATTAACCCCTGGCACTCTGCTCCACTGAGGCAGGTGAAACCTCCCACTTGGCTCAAAGCGCATCNCATACAGTTTGGATTATGTATTTATAATTTTACTTATGAGTCAAAAAAATCAGGTACATGTTGAAAATGAAACAGCATTTCTATTAATCCATTTTAATTAGGATTATGGAACACAATCGCTTCCATACTGGTGGGCCACTCATTCATTTTTAGACAGAGGTTGCGGGCCAGTGGAAATTGGAACACGGGCCGGACTTTGGACATGCCTGTTTTAAGGGAAGCTGAGCTTCACTTGCAGTCTTAGAGCGATCGCCTCTGCTCTATTCTACTAAAAATTATTTGAGACAAAATTTTTCATGTAAGCACATGATCATTTTGTTACTGACGCAGTGCACTTTGGGGATGATGAGGGTGCGCTACAGTTGAGGCTAGGAAGCTTTAATGTGTGGCAATAAAGTTATTAGTTTCTATGTTCTGCACAATATGACAGTGTTTAGGGAGAGGCTGGACCCAAAAATGCAGACAGGTTCGAGGAGTCAAACAAAARGCACTTTATTTAAACAAAAGCCGGCGKGGCRGCAAAACAAAAACCTAACAGGGAACAGGAGAGTACAGGAGGAAGCCAGGGTGACCCCAAACAATSAACGSATGAAGAAGTGGAGCAAGGGAACCAGTTAAATAGCAGMAGGGTTGAGTGGAGACAGCTGGGTGATTACTGAGTACAGACAGGTGTGAGAATGAATCATGAGAAGGCAGAACTGAAMTGAGGAAAAGATGGTAATGAGAACACCGAACACCAGAGAAAAACAGAGGACAGGACAACAGATCTTCACACAATACAGTGGTTGAAACTATTAAATGTGAT